AGGAAGGAAGGAAGGAAGGAAGGAAGGAAGGAAGGAAGGAAGGAAGGAAGGAAAACAGCCTGGGTTCCTGAAAGCTTGTTGAGTCACAGGGCCAATCTTAAGTATATGAATAGAGGAAAAAAATGGATCCAAAACTGGTATTATGTCAGTGTGTGCCAGGCTTCCTAACAATCACAGTTAACCTATTCCTCATAAAGCTATAGCCTTGCCAAGAAAAATAAATGGGAAGAAGAAAAGGCTTCGCTTTTTAGATATCTTTGAGGATAGCTGCTAACAGCTATGAAATTTAGGTCATATTCACCCTTCAAGGTAGCAGAGACCAATCCAAGATGGGGGCCTTGAAGCGGGTACTATAGGTTATCAATAGGTACTGAAGATAGCTGTCAAAATGAAGGGCTCAGATGAAAAGGTCCTTGCTTCCTTAAGCATCTTCTTCATGAAAGCATAAGGCAGGAGAGAATGAGGCTGCAGCTGGCCATGCAGCTTGCTGACAGACCTGTAGTAGCACATGCCACACAAGGTCCATGTCTAATCCCAGTGCCACAGACAAAACGAGAACCTCCCTGCTGAAAACCAGGATGAATGAGGGTGTTTGTCAAATGCAGTGGGAGGATCCCGGAGGCATTGACCTGCCTCCCTGTCTTTCCCTTTGATTTTATACTGTGTAGGCCAAGTAACCTAGGGCCTAGAAGCTTACAGCCAAACCAGGCAGGGCCATCAAGGAATGTGATGCCAGGTGTGGCAGACTCCTCACTCCTTGTCCTCTCCATGACAGACATACCACACCCACCTCCCTTAGTCCAAGATAACTTCCTGGAACTTAAGATTTTAAACCCTGTTAAGCGTAAAGAAGCCCTGGAAAAAGTACTGTTTTGTTTTTTTGTTTGTTTGTTTGTTTTTAGGAAGCAGCCTTTGCATCATAATCCGGTGTGAGATCCCTAGCTTAGCACAGCTTTTACCTGGGGCAGCAGGGTGGGAGCTCCAGTCCCCAAGACAACTGGGGACTCTGGATCCAGAAGGCAGAAGGCTGCTCTAGTCTTCAGCTTGCCTGCGGCCTCTGAGCCTCTGTCCCCCAAAGGAAGGCTGCTGTAGGACATGTTTCCCTTTGTTTACTAAGACCTCTTACATTAGGAATAAAAAGCAGAAGACCATTTCTACCCATAAAGCAACATTCCCAGTCAGAGTACTATTTTAGCTGGCAGCCACTCAGAGGATACTAACCGGACACAACCAACTGGTTTACCAAGGCATCTTCCACAGCCTCACTGAGCAACTGTAAAGGTGCCAGCTGGTGTTCAGGTAGGCGGGAATCGAGGGATTTTCCAGTTGAACATATCTGTACTCTGAAGCCCAATGAGTAACTTTTTAAGTAAGCCATGCGTTAAGTCTGACCTAACTATCTGACTTGGAAATTTCAGAGTGATGGCTCACCTTTGAAGACAAGACAAAACCTGAAACCTCTTAAAGGTTTAATCTAAAATAATTATCAACTAATCAGTGTTTTCTACTTCATAGTCATTGTGTTAAAAATTGACTCAGGAAGAACTGCTGAATCTAAAAACCTGGTAAAAGTTTGATGAGAGGCAAGCTGTGCTAGAGTCTCAGATATTCTCCTCATAGAGTGTTTGCTTGTTTCAAAGAGGGGGAAAAACATTATTTCCCAGAGAAAGCTTGACAGATACCATGACAAACAAATCATCAAAATTCATCAGCAGCAATCATGGGATTAGCAGGCAGCATAAGCCTCCTGACGTAATAGACTGTGGAGAAGAAAAGAAACAAGAAAGCCTAATATAAAACAACTAGCCTACTCTGGCAAGGTCACAAGAGACCGAGAAGCCCTTTCAGACAATGCACGGGTAATTTTTTTAAAGTGCTAGACCAAGAAAAGAAATGCTACAAGAGACAGCAATGGGACAGTGAGAGAAAGCTGAACCGCAAGGTAGGAGAACTCCTGTAAGTTTTCTTGTTGGTAAATCCCCCGTGGCTGGTGCTGTCAGAGAGCATCTTTGTCCTCAAGAAATACATGCCAAAAGACTCAAGGACTTCAGGCTGAGATGTGTGCAGCTTCTTCCTCTCAGATGGCTCACCAACCTGTGTGTGTGTGTTCCATGGAGCATATACATGTCAGTAAATGCTGACTCTAAAGGAAAGCTTTGTTTGGGGATTAAGAAGAAATGTTACAACTGTCAAGAAACATTACTAGAGAAAAATATGAATAAAATATTTTTTAAAATTCAAAAGGTTTAGAAATATTTAAACCTGAATCAATTAAAAGAACAGAAGCAAAATGGCACCATCATTCAGATGGAGAAATGGAGACGGGGTTGTCAAGGCCATGTGGTGCAAATTTTTCGTTAACCTCAGGAGTCCACCAGTCTCTCCCTTGGCCACAGGAGTCACACCACACTCAAAGGAAAGAATACAAACGTGGAAAACATGACTCGCCACCACTACGGGAAAGGAGTACCCAAATTAACCAGGCTAATCCAAACGGGATGGGTAGCTTCCCGCTAGGAAGGAAGAACATTTCTTGTTTCCCGGCAGCCCAGCCTACATCACATCCACGTGATGCTGTAGGCCACGGCCCCTGTTTTCAAAGCTTCGCCAGCACCTCAGAACCTCCAACTTCAAAGTCAGTGTGCACGTGCTTCAGCCTCGACATGACCACAAACGAGAGATTCTTATATAGTGTGTCCATCTGTCCTCTAGCCTTTGCTTCTCATTGGCTCTGTGGTGTTAATGGTATTCTGCAGTCTTGGCCTAAAGCCTGCTAAGCTCCTTAGGTTCAGAACTGCACTCACGCCTGGCCGCTGCCTCTGCCAGCAGCACACACGTGGCCGGATTAGGCAGAGGGGCTGTAAGGCACACACTCGCAGTGTGTGCTTCTCATTCCTAAAATACTTCGCTCCTAAACCACCTCTCTGCCTCTCTTGGCACAAAACAGGGCAAGTGGCTCTGGGCCAGAGGAAGTGTCTGCTTCGAGAGGTGGACTTTCTTCAGATTTCTCTACTTCAGGGAAATCACACGTACAACATCCTAGCATGGCTACCATGGGATAAAGCAGGAAAGGGAAAGTCTGTAGATAAAGACGTTTGTTTTTAAAGTTGTCTAAAAGAAACACTGAAAACATAAAACACAGCATTACTTCTATGAGAAGAGAAAGTATAGAGTCCAAGTGAGAACAAGAAAACAAAACTATTCCTTTAACAGAAAAGGTTCATGTGTGTGTGCCACTCACATCATGTTTGTTGTGAGGTGACATACCCAAATGAGGCCTTTCAAAATCATTGCTTTTCTTAGCATATACTTTATTTTTGTGCTTGGTTCCTTCATGCTTTTCCCCCTCTCTCAACGATGAAAACCTATCCCAGTTGGCTTACCTGTCCTTTCCCAGTTCCAGGCATTTATTTGGGACTCCCTTACAACCAGCTATGCAAAATTAGTAACCCTAAAAAGCCCCAGGCTTCCCCAGCTGGACTGCAAAGCCCACCTGGGTAGACGCGCCACACAGAAAATGTTAAAGAATATCACATCCAGCTCCAGCTCTGATGCCTTCCCAGAAGCTCAGCCTGGAGCAGGAGGAGGGTGACTTACTTTCTTTCCACTTCTGGCGTTGACACGGCGCTGCAGAAGCCTAGGGACTCCTAGAAGAGAAAGAAGGTTCTTGGTGTCAGCACAGGAGAGCGGAGTCTGGTTTCTACAGACTATCACTTCAGAGGAAAGGCAGATGCAAAAGCAAACAATGAAAGTGGCCGTGCTTACTTCGATCTGGGACCGCAGCTGAAGTGATGTGGGGCTGGCGTCGGGTTTCTCCTAAAACAGAACAGATGCAGCTTTAGCGAGAGTCCCAAATGTGGCACACACAGAAAGATAAATAGATGTGTAAGAAGAGATGGGGGGTTTGGAAACGCTACGCTGTACGGTGGGAGGAGACGGAGGAGATAAACAGATTTTCTGGAAAACCTGAAGTGCTTTTCAAATGGAGTGTGGGTCTCCTAGAACGGAACTGTTTACCAAGCTTCACTGCCATCCATACTCTGCTCACAGTTTTACGACACACAAGCACTAATCAACTGAAGGACACTGACAGCTATTGGTGTAGTGAGTCTCTGGATACTGGACCATCACTGTTGATGTTGAACTAAATTTTCCATAATAGGGAAGTTCCAGCTTGATTATTTTACATTCATCTGTGTATATTTGTTGGGGGGAAGGGAAGCACACTGGTGTCCTGGCATCATGTGGAGGTCAGAGGTCAGCTTGCAAAAGTCAATTCACCCCTGCCACCATGTAGGCTCCAGGGATTAAACTCAACTTGCCAGGTTTGATGGCAAGTGCTCCTACCTACGGGGACAGCCATCTTTCTTGGCAACTCCCAAGCTGATTTTGAAATTCTAAATTTGTTCAAAGGATTCAGTAATGTAAGGCTCCACTGCAAATGTGTGTTAGAAAGCTGGAAGACTAACTAGATATTATTCGGCCTTTAAAAATAATCACCATATATAACCCAGATGAACTGGCCTGCTCTCAGCTTGCAGGTGATGGATGACATAAAAATGCATGATGCTGTGAGTTCGTTGAGAAACATTAAATCACAGGACAGAGGAATCAGTCTGAGAGATAAAAACCATGTCCTCTAACACCCTCATTTTATAGTAAAGGATGTGTTTCCCTTGAAAATGTAAAACACCGGGGGAGAGAAATGAGTAACTTGTGATGCAAACGATGGACGGAGAGGAGGTCTGGTGGCTTAAGTGTGAAAGTTGTCCTAAGGAAACATTCGGATGTAATTACAAGAAAACAAAAGCCTTCCATGGAACACAGAACCTCGCATTGGTGGCTGTTCGCCTGTTTATTTTTGCTTGTTTGTTTCTTTTTAAGAGACTAATTCCAATCGACACAAGTGTAAGCCAAGGTTCTTATCCAACCCAGGTCCACAAAGGCGTGGCTCAGAAACACACACTCAGAAGCTGCTTCTGTGAAAAAACAAAAGCATTGACTCTTCACCTGGGCCCAGTGACTGGGGCCCTGACATGCTGGCCTTCATTGCACACCTGTCTGTCCCCTGTACTTCAGCAGGGCATGGTCCTAAACCCGTAGTCATCTTGGATGCCTAAGGATGGATGAAGAGAATTACCCTTAATGGAGAGGCCACACCCTGGAGTAGGAAGGGTCACCCTTCAGGGACCAGATCCATCCTCTACGTCAGCACACGAAGACAGCTTCAGACCACTTTCAAAGAACCAAGACAATGGGCAAGCAGACCGTACTCTGACCGTGACTGCCCACCGGTACAGACCTCTGACCTCCCTAAAGCAAGTGTTAGTACCCTGAGGATGGACTGCACCCATTAAATGTTCTCTCTCTGCTTTTTAAGACATATTAAGATGACCCTAACAGACTGAGACTGCTGGGGCCAGATTCTTGCCCTGAAACTCCAGTTACTCTTAGAACACACACACACACACACACACACACACACACACACACACACACACA